ATTGCGAGACATTAAGGGAAATCTCAGCATATGGGAGAATATATCATATTCATGTATTGGAAGGCTTAATATTTTTATAGATGTAATTTCACCAAAATCCAGCAGATGTTTTCTTTGAAAATTTTTTTGCTAAATGCATATGGCCATGCAAAGATTCCTTTTAAAAAAGAGAAGCATTTTGTTTTTAGAAGAGCTGAAAAAAGATGAATGCCAAATAGATTTTGAATCATTTTGCTTTATTTTTAGTTTTAGAGAGTAGTAGTAATATGTCCATTTTATTTACTGTTATTACAAGTGATTTATTTTGTGGAATCTGGAATTTTATAAAGTGGGAGTTTTGACGAAACAAGCAAAGGGAAAACCATGCATAGTGTATGTTTCTTTTAAAAAGGTTTTTTAACTTTATGCATTTTTTGTAAGTTTTTCAAAATGATTATGATGTCATCACATTAGTTGTTGTATTTAGTAAACAACTTTGTATTTTCTCATACATTTTTTTGCATGCTAAAATTAATTGTGTGTGTGTGACAGAGAATAAATGCATTTGGATATATCACTGCAAGAAAAGTTTCTTTTAGAATGATAAGGACAGGGCTAACCTACAAGGTGAAGGTTAAAGATGTCCCAAACGTCCAACTTTTCCAAAATGCTCCATCACTCCATTATCTCAGTATCAACTACCAGTCCTCACTTAGTATTCTACCTTATAGCTCAGGACTCTGGACTTCACAGCAACATCATAGAACTCATGAACTGTCACGAAAAGGGCTCACACAGTTGTGGAGACTGTTGTTGTTAAGTGCCGTTGAGTTGATTCCTACCCATAGTTACCCTGTAAGGGTTTCCATAGAGCAGTTGGTGAGCTTGAATCACCAACTTTGCACTTCAAATAACTATGCTGTCTGACACATTAGCTCACAATGCCACACAAGTCCCAAATTCATAGTTCAGATGTCAGTCCGGCATATTCTCCTCACTCAAGCCAAATTGGCAGGTCAGATGACAGGCTGTTGATTAACAAGGCTGCAGAAGCTGTCGAATCAGGACAGGCGATAGGTTGCTAGCTCAGTTGCCAAGGATGCTCCCATCTGACCTCTGTCAGACTGAAGTGAGCCACAAGGGGATCCAGAGTAAAAGAGTGAACTTTGCCATCTCTACAGAGATGCAAATTGGCCAAAAGCAAAAGAAGAAAGTCTTATTTGGTTAGTCAAGCAAAGAGTACCCTGGAACTCACGTCATCCAGGACCCCAAGTCCTGAGCCAGAGATCTTTTAGAGGTAACACATCTGCTTCTGATTGGTGTTCTTCAGGATGATTCAGTGCTAGAACTAGTCTTCTGTGCATCCTCAGTTGGGAAGGGGTGGGCACAAAGAGTACATTTTGCCTACACCTGGGGCTTGATGGAGGTGTGTATTCAGCCTCGTGACATCAGAAGGTGAGGTTGAGGACACATTGATCATTACTGTGCATGGTGGATGGGCCAGAGCTGGCTGGTCTCAGCCAGTTCTGGGACCCCAGCCTCCTGCTTTTCTTAATTAAGCAGAAAGCTGGCAGTTTGCCTAAGAAGGGAACAGCTTAAAACAGTAAGTTAGTTCTTGTTTTCACACAGATTTCAAAGATGATAACTAATTTGCAGACCATCCCCACAAGGAAACTAAGGGTGGTCTCAAGTCACACCATCTATTAAGGCAGAGACTCAAGATTCGTTCCAACTTAATCCTGCCTCAGAAACATGTAACAGATAAGCCATCCACAATGGGACCACCACAACAGGCCTGGAACCTAAAATTTACATCACAAAATGGAAAGCTGTAACTAGAAGGGCCATATAATCCCACAATAAGTGTCTGGATTTCTGTAGGATATGACAAACCCTAAATTTCTCTAAATATGTAATTTGATTCCATATAAATTTGGATGAGTTTCCTTTTGAAAGGTCATTGCTTGTATGAGTTATCGTCTGATATAAAGCTTCTGGGACACTCTAGTTTCCAAGATAACAAGGGACCTCTGTGAACTCAGCCCAGTGACTGTCCCACTTCATTATTCACTAATGGTTACGAAGTGGAATCCTGGTGTGGTGCTGTGGGTTAATGTGCCAGACTGCAAAGCCGTTTGAACTGCAAGGTTGGTGGTTCAAGGTCACCGGCCGCTCCTCTGAAACCCTATACAGTGTTGCTATGGGTCGGAACCAACTCGATGGCACTTTACAACAACAACAACAATGGTTACAAATCAGGCTACAACCCTCAAGGTCAGCAGTTGGAAACTACCAGCTGTTCCGTGGGAGAAAAATGAGGATTTCTGCTCCATAAAGATTTACAGCCTCGGAAACCCTGTACAGGGTCGCTATGAGTCGGAACCGACTCCATGGTACATAACCACCACCACCACCAAGTCATTCCGTGTGTTTCAAATAATTATTTTGTTTCTTTGTACTTGGTATTACAGATGTTTTATGGTTGGCTGAAACTTTATGGATGGGTGAAAAGAGTCCTAAAGTGTTTAAATGACTTTAAGAAAATACAGCAACTATAGCAGATCTACATCTTCTCAATCCATTTGAGTCACTTTGCTTACAAATAGTTTTGGTTGTTTTTTAAAAGATTTTTGAAAGGTACAAGAAAATTAAGAAAAATTCATATTCTTTTACAATATTGTTATGAAGTAGACAGCATGATGGAAAAGGCATGAACTTGGGAGGATCTGGGTTCTAAATACTCTTGTGAATAAATCAAGAGTGATAATACTTAATTTGCATACTCATTTTGAGATATTAAATGGTATAATAACTGCAAAAGCACTAGAACCTTTCATATAAAAATCTTTGATGCTTAATGTTTAGCTAGTTCAGATGTCAGGTGGAAGTATTCTCACTCAAGCCAAACTGACATATCAGGTGACAGACTGTTGATTCACAAGGCTTTCAATAAGTGAGAGGCAGTTAGTAAAAGCAGTGGTATTTGTCATCGTTGTTATTTTAAATGTTCTGTTCTTTCCAGCTTTTCTTGAGTGAATAATTAACTATTGTTAAATAAAGTTACACAGATCATGTTATACATAATTGACTAGATAGGAAGCAGTAGGGTCCAAAATTTATCAAACTAATTTTTATTTGAAATGTCTACTTAAAATTATACGAGAAGCTGGGTTCTATGAAGAAAAACGTGGCATCAG